TGCTAGAGTATCATGCATTTAAAGAAAAATGTACCCATATACTTTGGAAGACTGTGTATAATCATAATAATAAAAAAATAAGCAACCAAACTTAAATAAAACCCTTAAATACCTCACATACTTTGATGTTACTATCCTTTTTTTAACGGATGGATGGATGGATGGATGGATGGATGGATAGATAGATAGATAGATAGATAGATAGACAGACAGACAGACAGATAGTTCTCAGCTTACCACCACAACTGAGCTCAAAATTTACGTTGCCAAGTGAGAAATTTGTTAAGTGAGTTTTGTTCTGTTTTACGACTTTCCTTGCCATTATTTGTTAAGTGAACCACTGCAGTTGTTAAATTAGTAACATGGTTGTTAAGTGAATCTGGTTTCCGCATCGACTTTGCTTGTTAGAAGGTTGCAAAAGGGACATGACCCTGGGGGCACTGCAACCGTCACAAACGTGAGTCAAGCATCCGAATGTAAATCATGTGACTCCTGGGGATGTTGCAATGGTCGTAAGTGTGAAAAATGGTCATATGTCACTTTTTACTGCCGTTGTAACTTCAAATGGTCACTAAGCGAACTGTTGTAAATCAAGGACTACCTGTAGTAGGGTAAAATATGTGTATATATAGCATCTATGTGATGCTTTCACAATTCTCTGTGTATTAAGCGCACAATTAATTTTCCTTTCAACTCAAGGTCTTGAAAGCAGGTAAAAAAACTTTTTTTTGAAAAAAAAAAGCTCTAACTCAGAGGTCTCTAAACTTGGCAACTTTAAGACTTGTGGACTTCAAATCCCAGAATTCCACAAGTCCACAGGTCTTAAAGTTGCTAAGTTTGGGGACCCCTGCTCTAACTGAACATTCCTATTTCTGAATGTACAAAGTAGATGGAACATTTAAAGAAGATACTATTCCAGCACCTGAAAATATAATGCACAAGTTGATGATACATTATCTGGCAGTTCAAATGTATTCTTATTGTGGGTTGCTAGGCATACATTGGAATAGTTCATGTTGTATAATGTGCATGATTGCTTCCCTATATTTAGTGAAGGGTTGTCATGTGATTAAACCATATGTGATTACTCATATATTATACTGTTGAGCAGTAAGCATGGAAAACAGTTAAATGTGCTTAAGCTTAGCAGAATCATGAGTCTGGAATACTGTGGTTTTCTTCTCATAAAAAGCAGATGTTACCTGTTCTTCAGAAACTTCAGCTGGAGGCCGTGCTTCCTGCACAGTTGGGTGATTATCCAAATAATTTGCATTAGGTCGGTGACGTAAAGGAGGAAAGAAACGATTCCAATTAACTATTCCACCCTACAATGAAATATTCTAACATTACTCTTAAATACAAAAAATACAGTTGAGTATTTGAATTAACTTTCAAATTAAAAACTAACAGCAAATTATAGGAACTGGGTAGAAATGAGTGATTAAAGTAATTCTGCAAAAACTCAACCATAGAGCCAAGCTTTCTAGGAGCCAGCGGAAGTCCCCTACTCTAAGTTCATAGTTGATTCCTTCTTTCACTGTAGATTTGGTTTGGTTCCTTCGGTTCTGAAGGACTGGCCTATAGAATGCATACATCTTCCTTACATCTAACCATTAAACTCCTTTTTTCAGAAAGTTGCAGTCTTGGTATTGTGTGTATGCTTTATCTTTGGTTTTCAAGCTTCTATGGCAGTACTTTCAGCATTTGGGAATAGATAAGATTCTCTTCACTCCTTATCACCATCCCCTCCCACTTGTGACTGTATGACTGTAACTTTGTCACTTGTATCCTTACGATTTATATTGACTGTTTCCTAGTATGATTTGATTGCTTATTGTACCCTATGATGATCATTAAGTGTTGTACCTTATGATTCTTGAGTCTTGACGAATATATCTTTTCTTTTATGTACACTGAGAGCATTTGCACCAAGACAAATTCCTTGTGTGTCCAATCACACTTGGCCAATAAAGAATTCTATTCTATTCTATTCTATTCTATTCTATTCTATTCTATTCTATTCTATTCTGTTCTGTTCTATTCCATTCCATTCTATATTCCTCGACTTATGACCTCAATTGAGCCCAAAATTTCTGTTGCTAAATGAGACATTTGTTAAGTGAGTTTTGGCCCATTTTATGACCTTTCTTGTCACAGTTGTTAAATGAATCACCACCAATTTAGTAACACAGTTAAGTGAGTCTGGCTTCCCCATTGTCTTAGCTTGTCAGAAGGTTGCAAAAGGGGACCATATGGCCCCAGGACACTGCAACTGTCATAAATCTGAATCAGTTGCCAAGCGTCTGAATTTTGATCACATGACGATGGAAATGCTGCAATGGTCATGTGAAAAATGGTCATATAACTCACTTTTTCCAGTGCTGTTGTAATTGTAAGTCGAGGATTACCTGTGCACTTCATGTGCTCCATTTCAAGGAAATAGAAAAATATATTTGTTTGTATAATGTTCTGTTAATGGAAAGTCTTGGGCAATATGCATTTCATTTTTCTCTCCATAGCTTTCTAATTTTAACAATGTCCTTGCTTCCACCACTTCTCTTTTTTATTACCCACATTTAAGTAATCCATTGAAACTTAACACAACTTATTTCTGTACATCTTCTTACATACACGACTGTCATCTCCAACATCCACTTCATTTTTCCTATCAAATACAAGTAGCTTGGTCTTTTATACATTAATTTTCAAATCCATGCTACACGCTGCATTGTACCATGTAATATTCACTGTAAATTAGTCAACAAGGCACATACAAAAAATACATGGACTTTCACCCTCCCTATCCCCTCCATTTCTTATTTTAAGATAAGCATTATGGAAAAATGTTTAAGGAATGTTTACTTCCTAATTAGCAGTACAGCATTAGCAATAGCACTTAGACTTATATACCGCTTCACAATACTTTACAGCCCTCTCTAAATGGTTTTACAGAGTCAGCATATGGCCCCCAACAATCTGGGTCCTCATTTTACCAATCTCGGAAGGATGGAATGCTGAATCAACCTTGAGCCCGGTGAGATTTGAACTGCCAAACTGCTGGCAATCGGCAGTCAGCAGAAGTAGCCTGCAGTACTGCACTCTAACCACTGCGCCACCACAGCTCAGCTAAACTTTTCATTCATTCTCATGAATATTTTACTTCCATCTACACCATTCCTCTCATCCAGCAGGCAATTTTAATGTTTCCTCAAAACAGTTCATGATTAAAGCCTACTCGCAGAATCAGATGCGTTCTCTGAATTAAAAACTATTCAGCCATTCAGAATAGTTCGTGATTAAAATGGTATATAACAGTGATGGCAAACCTTTTTGTTGTGGTGTGCCGAAAGCATGCATGTGCTGGTACCCACAATGCAATGCCCCCCACCCACCCCCGTGCATGCAACACCCCTGCCCTGCCCCTTAGCTGCACTGTGCATGCGCGTGCCTCTCAGCTGATATTTGGCCCTTTTGGCCCTCCCGAAGGCTCAAAAGAAGCCTCTGCAGCCTCGGGAGGCCAAAAAATGGGCCTTCCGGAAATACCAGAAGTGCCTGTTTTCAGCCTCCAGAGGGCCTCTGTAGCCTGGGGGAGGCCGTTTTCACTCTCCCGGAGACTCGAGGAAAGCCTCTGCAGCCTTGGGAGGCTGAAAATGGGCCCATTTTGGCACTTCTGGTATTTCCAGAAGGCCCGTTTTTCGCCCTCCTGAGGCTGCAGAGGCTTCCCTCGAGCCTCCGGGAAGGCAAAAACGGCCTCAAACAGGCCAAAAATCAGCTGGGAGGTGCACGCATGCGCAGTGCAGGTAAGTTTGGCTGGGGCTCGCGTGTCCACACAAATGGTTTTGCGTGCCACCTGTGGCACGCGTGCCATAGGTTCGCCATCACAGGTATATAAGCTTTGTAGCACTAGCAGTTAGACTTATATACCACTTCACAGTGCTTTACAGCCCTCTCTAAGCAGTTTACAGAGTCAGCATATTGCCCCCAATAATCTGGCTCCTCATTTTACTGACCTCGGAAAGATGGAAGGGTGAGTCAGCCTTGAGCCAGTGAGACCCAAACTGCCAAACCGCTGGCAGCCGCTGATCAGCAGAAATAGCCTGCAGTACTGCATTCTAACCACTGCTCCACCATGGCTCTTATTGTAAGTAAGTTAATACCATATAGTTTTTGATTTTCGAATAAAAAAATCTGGCATAAAGTCACGTTGCACTTCCCAAATTTTGCTCAATTTCAGATCTTGTAATCTTTTGATCAGAATAATGTCAAATACCTTCCCAACCATATCTAATATTATTATCCCCTTTTCTATAGGTGAAAAATAACATTTTTCTAATCATTGGGTCCAACACATTCTTATCATGTTAGACAAAACCATATCTATATTTTAATATTCCTACAGTAATATCAGTCTCATTGGCTGTCAATGATCTAAATGCATTTAAAACTTCTTTTCGTCCTTTTTTCCTTGGACTCCAAAACATATATTATTTATTTCAATTGCCTTTTTGGCATAGCACTATCGTTCAATACACTTTTCTGAAATACTTCTTCCAGCATTCCCTTCTTTTGGGTTTCTCTCAAATCATTTCATCTGTATTTATTTATTTCCGTTTAGCCTGTTAGGGGCTCCTTGTTTAGCCTTCTTTACCTATTCTCAGGATAGTTTATTATTCAATCAAAATCAATCTGCACTTTTAATTGTTTCAATCTCAACAGTTCTTTGCTTGCTTTAATTCTCTGCAATTCTCTTTTTATACAAACTCTCTTATACTAATTTCTTACACTAATTTTTGCTCCATGCGCATGTAATTCTTCCCATTTGGTTTAATTTCTTCAGGTTCAAGAAATAGTTCGAACTTCATTTAGAATCTCATCACCCATATCATTCCACTCTCACTTAATTCATAAGCCTATGGCCTATTTATTTTTTATTTCATTCATTATATCATGTATTTTATCATTTACACTTCATACATTCTAACTCTCTTTTTCCGTATGTTGTAATCATTACTGATGACTTGTGCTGCTCATTATGGTTTCACGTAATGCTTTTTAGTAATTTATCAAAGATATAGACTGGTTTACTAGATTTCTGTGCCACATGCAATAAAGATAATGCCAATTTTTTGCTACATTTTAGCCTATATCTCATAAGTACAACTAAAATCCATTTGTCCCCTTATTGTGTTCGATCTGGGGACTACCCTGCAAGTCAACACACTGTTGCTACAGCTCATGATCATGGTTCATATACACTCATGACTCAAGCTTAAAACACTGAATTTGGAATATTTATTTAACACAATACCACAAGTTTGTCAGCTTATTGTACTGCCACCCAACTTCCAATAAAATCAATTAGGGGATACATTATTTTGAAGGTGCTAGAAAAATACAAGTTTCTGTTTTTCAACAGTTCCTCTTTAAAAGAGTCTCATTTAGTTGCAATTTTGTTTCTATGTTTGTTCCTTTTGGTGATAAGTGGTAAACTAGTCTATATCTTTGCTAAATTACTAAAAAGCATTATGTGAAAGCATAATGAGCAGCTATGTAACCTTTAATGATTTCTAAGGAATATACACCAGGCTGTAATTTTTATTGTTATAGTCTCGGTCCAGCATTTTGTACAATTATTATATAAGGTTTAAAGGTTCAAATTAAAAAATAAGCATTTCTAAAATCAAATTAAAGGAATAGTTAACTAAAAAGTTATAAATGCAAATAACGGAATATTAATAAAAGAGCAAAATAAAGATTAGCATTTCTTTTTTTCATTTTCAAAGCAGTGGCAATTATAGAGGTCATCAACTTTAAAGCGGTTGGTTTGATTTTACTTGAGATTTGTAAGAGCTTGGAAGCTATCTAAGGCACATTTTGGGTGATAAAACATTGTCAAGATATAAAACCAACACTGCAATTGGTAGATAAAGAAATTATCATTATTAAATCTCTTGACGCCTAGGCAAGAAATTCCAAAATTAAACTAAAGACACCAAAACTCAAATTAATTAGGTTTCTTCTAACATTATGAAAATAATTATGAAGGAACTCCAGAACTGCTGTGTATCAAATGTGAGCTTTATTTATATTGAAATCAAGTGTCAAATTATTGTCCCTTCTGTGAAAGTGATGCAATGAAATGGAAGCTACTCTCTTGCAAGTGAAGGGATAGCTGTCAGCGTTCCAGCAAACCTCCATTCCAATCAGTAACTCCGAGACAAGCGTCATCTCAAAAGAATATTATTAGAATAGCACCCGGCACATCTGTGAAATCTCGGAACTAAATTCCCCAGAACTTTCCACAATGTCCCAACCTACAACCCAT